AGGGAGGGAGGGAGGGAGGGAGGGAGGAAGAAGAGTCAGTCCTGCATGGCTCCCTACTCACTAGCTACGTGACCTTGGGCAAGTAACTTCCCTCTCTGTGCCTTCATGTCCTCATGAGCACACAACTTAACTGAAAAGGGTTGTGATGAGGATTAAATGAGATAATATACCCGACACTCAGCCCTCTGTCGGTGCTCAGCATCGTAGTGCTGCCTTTACTGTTTCAATGATCAAATCAAAACAACCACACTGTGCTATAACTTTGTCATCCTCTGTGTCGGTAGTAAGTTCCTGATTAATCAGTAGACTACTTAGTAAATTGGACTCAGCATTCAAGATTGACTGGATTAAAAGTAAAATCTTCCCAAGACAATTAAGAGCTCAAACCAGTTTAAACTGAATACTGCAGTCAGTCATTAGGCACTGGAGTTAATGTAAGTACCATTTTTCTTTGCTAAAGTTAGCGCTAACTTCCTTAGAGGGCATGTAATTCAGGTAGTCACGGCACCACCCTATCAAAAAAGTTTAGCAACCATGCATAATGAGTCACTTTTGCTCCACTTCTTATATTAATGCTAAGCTTAAGTGTGCCATAGCCTCAAGATTCAGCATCAGCTGCTCTTAAAAAAGAAACAGTCTCATAACATATTGCCATGTGAAAGGGGGAAAAAAAAAAAAGACTGAACTGCAAAACACAGGCATACCTCATTTTGTTGTTTCCCTTTACTAAGCTTCATTGATGTTGTATTTCTTGCAAATTGAAGGTTTGTGGCAACCCAGAGTTGTCAGGTGATGGTTAACATTTTTTAGCGATAACTTTTTAAAAAAATTTGTTTTACTGAAGTATAGTTTATTTACAATATTGTGTAGCAATCAAGTATTTTTAAATTAAGATATATACACTGGCTTTTTAGACAGAATGCTATTGCACACTTAACAGAGGACAGTATAGTGTAAACATAACTTTTATATGCACTGGGAAACCAAAAATTCGTGTGACTCCCTTACTGCAATATTTTGCTTTATTGTGGTGCTCTGGAACCAAACCTGCACTATCTCTGAGATATGCCTGTATATATGATCCCATTAAATCAAAACAAAAAGAGTGCATGAGTGTGAATGTGTGTGATATATGTACTCATACATGCAGAAATGTAGGGGAAAAAAACAAGGATATATACCAAATATATATGTACATATATGTATATATTAACTATAATTCCTTCCCACTAGTGTGATAAAGAATATCTTTTTCCTTTGGGTTTTCTGTGGTTTTTTAAACACTGATAGTGCATTTTTTTTTGAAAAAAGGTTATGAAATTAAAAAACAAAACAAGACAAACAGTATTTTGGACCCTGAGAGTGCTTCCCCTTGTTTTGTTGTGGGGTTTTTGTTTTCATTTTTGTGTTGTAATAAATAGAGATCATGGTGCCATTTTTTGAGCACTCATTTAAACAGAGAGGAGGACAAACCTATTAATAGAGAAACCAAACAAGCTTTGAATTATAAAAAAATTATCAAAATAACAAGTGTTGGCAAGGATGTGGAGAAACTGGAATCCTTGTACACTATTGGTGGGAATGCAAAATGGTACAGCCACTGTGGAAAATAGTATGGCAGTTCCTCAAAATATCAAAATTAGAATTACCATATGATCCAGCAATTTCACTTCTCGGTACATACCCCAAAGAATTGAAAGCAGGGTCTTGAAAACCTGTTTATACACCCACGTTCATAGCAGCATTACTCACAATAGCAAAAATGTGGAAACAACCCAGTGTCCACCAACAGATGAATGGATAAGCAAAATGTAGTAAGTATAGACATACAATGGAATATTATTCAGCCTTAAAAAAGGAACAAAATTCTGCAATATGCTACAACAGGTAAGAACCTTGTGGACATTATTCCAAGTGAAACAAGCCAGTCACAAAAAGACAAATACTGTGTGATTCCACTAATATGACATACTTAGAGTATTCAAAATAAAAAAAAAAAAAAACAGAAAGTAAAACGGTGGTTACCAGGAGCTAGGCAGAGCGGAAAATAGGGAGTTATTGTTTAATGGGTTTAGAGTTTCAGTTTTACAAGCTGGATGGTAGTGATGGCTGTACAACAATGTGAATGAATATTAAATATAATACCGCTGAACTGTACACTTAAAAATGGTTAAGATGGTAAATTCTGTTAGGTGTATTTTACCAAAATTAAAAAATATATATACAAAGAAGTGTGTATGTGCCTATGACTTATGACCTATGCAAGCTACAGCTGTACTTCTATATGGTGTATACTGTGAAACACACAACAACCAGAAACTTTTTAAATATGTAGAAATAAACACAAATGGAAGTTCTAGTAGTTTCTTTCTGCACCCTAGTGGTTTGCCTCGGCAGCCCCTCAGGAGGCCCAAATCCTGAGATCTGACGTGCACGGGAAGGTGATGCCTCCTTCTCGAGCCCAGACCCCACTGTGCGCAGAGCAAAGAGCAGTGCCAGCAGTGGCCCACCCCTGACGTTAGTCTGCCTTCTCTTCCTCCGTCTCTTCTCTTGCATTCCAGGAGTATTTAACCCTGCTCCGAGGTCTCAAGAATATTTAATCCTAACAGACTCAGCTATAAAGAATCCTGAGCAAGTAGCAAATCCCTGGCAAACTTAGAGAGAGACTGGAATGGAAACTGGATGGAAATGCTACTCTCCAGAGCCATGGAGAGCCTTGAATAACCACATGGTGAACTGGCAAAACCTGAACTAGAATGAGGTCTACCAAACAAGTCTCTTGGGTGCCTGGAGAATGAACAGATCCCAAAGTCTTAAAAACACTGCTTGGGCAAAAACCTGTGACAATGAACTAAAAGAATAAAGTCAGATCTAAAATGAGGCTGGATGCCAGCCAGCTACTGCGGAGAGGCTTACCTTCAGTATCTCAGGTTCTTTGACATCCAGAGACCTTGGGTTCCAGTGTTGTAGATTTTTATGTAATCTGTGATATTTATGAGCACTTGGTGGTGTAAAAAACCAAATCATGCAAACTGCAGTCATGAATCCAAGGCCAACGCCCAGAAAGAGTCCACTCACGTACTGGGGGAGGGGGAGGATGAGGTACGCATAGACAAACATGACAAAGAAGCCCAGAGTCTTCACGGGCAATTCGGGGTGCTGCATGGCCGAGTCCACCTCGTGGTCACTGTCCAGAGCCGTGCCATCGTCCGCCAGCACCTCTGGCTTGAGAGGGACTTCTGAGAGCCTCTCAGCTTTACTCTCTCCCTCCGTTTCCAAATCAAAGTCCTCAGTGTACAGTTCGCAAAACTCTTCATCCTCTTTGCTCACCAAGGCAGACAGAGAGCACCTCTCAAGAACCAGAGAGCCGGTCTTCAGGCCTACCTCCTTCAGACTGCTCCCCTGAGAACTCTTCGGTTCTGCCTCTCTCGCAGGGTCCTCGGAGGACTGGGGGTGGTCACTCCTGGGGACGCCAGGGTCGCTCCCCAAGCCCTCCCCCTCGGAGTCACACTCCTCCTCCTTGATGCTGTAGCTGTTATTGCTTTCCAAGTGACCGTTCAGGCTGGACAGATTGGAGAGCTCTGAAGCACTTGAAGATAAGGCTTTGGGCCTATGGCTGCCACTTTCTTCCCCTATAATTTTACTAAAAAGCTGAAAAGGGTCATATATGACTTCGGAAAGGCGTCGCTTAGTGTCTTCGATTTTCGCCTCCATTTCGGGCACTTTAAAAAAGGAGCGTGTATCGGAAGGCGACGTCAGAGGGGAAGAGGGTGCAGTTTTGGAATCTCCACCTGTGTTTCGTGGCTGCGTGAACGGCTTGAACAGGTGTATATTCAGCTTGGAGTCGGATGGCTTGTACGACACGTTATCTGACTCCTGCCTGGAGGTGTCGGTGGACAGAGACTTGACTAACGTCTTCATCAAGTGCCGGTGCCGTGGCGGGTGGGGGGATTCTTTTGGCTCCACCTCGGTCGACAGGGACTTCACGAGGCTCATGAAGGGCTTTGCGCTGGAAAGGGTGGAGGACGAGGCACTGGGAGGGAGGATGGGAGACCTGGAAGGCGAGGACAGCGGGGAGGAAGAACTGGTTTTCTGCTCAGGAAGGGGCGACACGCTGGGAGAGCTAGCTGAGGGCCCCGAGGAGGACGAGCCCGGGGACAGAGCCAATGGCACCGTGCTTAATACTTGTGCTGCTGCAGGAGGGGGCTCCAGCAGCTTTGCAGTGTTCTCGGAGACGCGCAAGATGGCAGGGGACACGGACAGTCCGTCTGCCAGGATGAGCTGGGCGCCAGGGCCAGCGGGGTCATGGCCACCCTGGGGTTCAAGATACAGGTCTTCCTTGGCTTCGAGCCCCGTTACAATGCTTTGGTCGTCCAGCCCCTCCTCCAGGTACTCCCTGAACTCCTCCTCCTCTTCCTCCTCCTCCTCCCCGGATGCCGAGAAGCGGATGGCGATAGTGTCTCGGGACACGGACCTCTGCACGTGCACTCTGGGGGCTGACGGTTTTGGCATGTCAATGGTTTTTTCGGCATGGCGACCATTCAGACTTGTCATCGCCGGCTTCACAAGGGCTCAGGCTCTGTGAAAACAGCGAGAAAACCCGAAGTCAGAAAGCGGTTTCTCCACGGGACACGCTGTCGTGTGTGGACAGGAATGCAGATGAAGCTCACTTCTAAACGGTGATTATGCTTTTACTTGGCAGGTGGCCACTGTTTCTACTTGAGCAGGTTTAATGGTTTAATTTTCATCAGATAAATTCCAGTTAGGCATTCTCTTTTATGAGCAAACTACAAACCAGTGTTATACACCCCGTACAATCTGTATTCCTTCACAACATCTAACTCATCGTTTCCTCCCTCTTAACTGGCTCATTTCTATCAGTAATTCTATATTGCAAGGCTTGAAAGACCTGCACAACAGTTGCTACCAGTATTACTTCAGAAGTCCAACAGGCTAAAATGCAGCATCCTGGCGATTTTGAGGATCTTGGAATCAAAATTTCACCAGTGGTTTTCCAGCTATAAAAAGCTAATCCTGGAGGGTTACTGCTTTCATTGCAATTTTCACAGCAATCCTAACAGTTCTTTTGCGTCTCCCACCAATGCTCACATATCTTGCCACTGCATATAAGGAGCAAAGTATCCAAGGGTGGTAAGGGAAATCTGTAAACTAACTGCTGTGATCTGTCAGCTTCTTTATTCCCCAAGTGGTAGGTACCCTAAGGCCAGAGTATTTAGGCAGCCATGAAGACATGGCCATTTTCTGAGGCTCCAAGATAAAGCAAACTTGTATTTTAAACTGAATCCAAGAATCAAAGGGCAGGAAAATGAAGTCTCAATGCTGCAACCCACCACCAACTGAGAACTCTGCTAAGAGCTAGGGCAAGAGGCATGGAGGCTATGCTTTCTGCCCTTCAGGAGCTTAGTTGCTGGAGAGAAAACAGACACCTGAAAAGCTGGGCAGAAAAACAAAAGAAGCCAAGCGCACCCTGTGACACCCAGTGCATTACATCTCCCCCTATTCACTTATGGCCCATGTATTGGGAACAAGGCATCATGACAGGTCCTACAAGAGGGAAATGAACACAATCTGGAAGGAAACCCCGTCAAAGGAGCTAAAACGCACTTGAGGAGTGACCTTCAGGCGTTCTGAGGAGGGTGAGAGCAGCGTGGACGGTAGGACACCCGCTCGCTCTTTTAAACTGAGGGGTAGGTTGTGGCTAAATGGGTGTGATTAGAAAGAAGGGACAAAGGCATGAAGATGAGCACAGGCATGGTGTGTCCTGACACATGGGTCTATTCTCCATGTCCAGGATGGAGGGTGGGTGTTGGGGAGCCGGGGGAGACCACCAGCACGAGAGAGGCATCGTGCGAGAGAGGAAAGAGCAGCCTTGGGACCGGGAAATCAGGCTTCTGATACTTGCTCCTTTTCCAGCTGATTCTGTGGGAACTTGAACAAGCCAAGACCTCTACGGGTCTCAGAATCTTCACCTGTTAAATGAGGCGCCAAGAGCCCTTTCCAAATCTAAAACCCTATGTTTATGTTTACAAGTGATAGTACACAACCCAATCTGATATACTCACACAAGTAATCTGCCATAGACAATCAACATTATGTTGCTTGCTTGTTTCTTTTTTTTCCTTTTCTTTTAAAAAATACTTATTTATTTATTTATTTATTTGGCTGTGCCGGGTCTTAGTTGCGGCACGCAGGATCTTCGTAGCAGCATGCGGGATCTTTAGTTGCAGCATGTGGGACCTAGTTCCCTCACCAGGGCTCGAACCCGGGCCCCCTGCATTGGGAGAGCAGAGTCTTAGCCACTGGACCACCAGCGAAGTCCCTTGCTTGTTTCTTTAATTTGAAAAACTCCTATAGTTAAGTCTTCCACCAAATACTCATGTTCAAAATGCTAGCAACCGATACTACCAACAAGAGAAAAGGTAAACCTGTCTGTGTGTTGAGGGGATTGGGGCGGGGGGAACCTGGGGCAGGTGGGCAAGAAAAACTATTTCCTAGAAACAGGAAATAACCCAGCGATGACAAGAATTACAGTTCAAGGGCCCGGTCACAACAAGGACACATCTGAAACAACACATTTCAGTATCAATACTTGAGAGAAATTACTTTCATAAAAATTTTTCAACAGGGTTTTGCCCAAGCTCATTCATGACCCTCAGGCTCTCCTATCCCCATTAGATCCAAGAAAGGGGAGTGATCTCTACCAATCAGACAAAGCAATTTAAATCCAGGAGCTGGCAGCAAGCTATAAAGACACAGCCTCGGGTCCAGGACAATCCTTCCCTGTTATCTCAAAGCCAACAGGTTTGTTTGGCTTAGTGAGAAGAAAAATACCAAGCGCAACACACATTTTTCATTTAACTGTCACCTACTTTTATAAGGGTAATTTTAAAAGAAAATTACAGAGGTAATTTTAAAAGTTTGGTACTTGATAATTCTCAATAGGCTGAAAAATCAGCTTTATTTAAATTGCTTTAATAACATAAAGGATGATCTGAAAGGCTCTGCTGCTCTGAGGCTGCTTCACTGGTAGTAAAAGTGACTGTAGGCACAGGTGCACATACAGAGAGCATGACTGGGGGGCTGAACAGTGTGAGTCGTTCTCTGAGGAGCAAGGCAAGAGTGCAGAGGCTCTTTTACAGTTGAGGGTGGGATGACCTGGGAGTCCACAGGCAAAGTCAGGCCCAGTCCAGGGCCACAGGGCCAAACAGCAGTGTGTCCAGGAGCCTGTGGTCTCAGCACCTGCCCAGGAAGGGCCATCAGGGGCCGATCTGCCCAAACCTCCAACACATAGTCGGGCCCCCTTGGCTTGCCGGTTAAAGGGACCTCTGCTGATCTCTGACTAGACTGTCTTAAGGTCTTGTTGGGCTGCACCCTGCAGGCCTACAGCCCTGTGCTCGCCCTGCTTCAAGACAGAAGAAAGACCCTGGAGGCAGCTACGGAGACATCAATGGTTTAACGGATGGGGAAGCTTATATATCTGAAGCAAGGTTCTGAAGCAACACCCCACCTGAGTGGTGGACGGTGGGCAGGACATGGCAGCAGCCTTCACTCACAGGGGGAACGGGAGACGGCCAGTTATAGGGGGAACTTACGTCAGGTTTGCTCATTGGTTACCAGGGAAACTGCCCTTTTCATAAGAACAATCACTAACTGGGGCCTGGGGCAAGCATGCAGGAAGGTCAGTCATGTGAGTATAGAGTGTGGGTGAAGCAGCCGCAGGTCGGGCTGGGGACGTACAGAGAGCAAGAGAACAGCCATCTTGAGTGGCCTGACCGCAGAGGTCCGTGTCAGCCAATTGGGCCTGAGCTGGGCCCCATAGAGAGCTAGGTGCCAGGCAGCCAGCCAGAGCAGGTAGTCTGGCTCACCATGGCTAATGTCTTTCTCCAGGGCTCAGGCAGTGGCTTCAGAGGTTTAGAGTAACCTCCCTCAAATCCATGCTGACCGAAGTCTAGCTCCACCTCACTAGTTTTGTACTAAAACATGCCACGTGAGGCTAGAGCAGCACTACTACTTTTTAAATATAAGAAAATCTTAGGGCCCTGTTTGCTTATCTGCAAATGAGGGGGTTAGACCAGATAAACAAAGACTGCTTCTAGGACTCAAACTGCTGGATAACTGTGTGTCCTGGAACTCGAGTCCCTGGTTGGGGTTCTAGACAGACCATCAAGTGGCCACTCCTTCCTCCTCCTGGGGAGTCCTCCAAGCCTCCTCCTCTCCATCCTTCAATGGCGGGCGGCTGGGGCCAGTAAAACCGACCCTCCCACAGTCACAGCACTGCAGGACAGCCAAGGTCAAGAGGAAAAGTACCTGACTGTCGTCCAGGAACTTTATGTGGTTGGTCCAAAGACACAGCACTGAATGAGGAGGGGACGGGGAGACGGTTAGACACGGGCTTTTTTTTTTTTTTTTTTTTTTTTTTTTTTGCGGTACGCAGGCCTCTCACTGTTGTGGCCTCTCCCGTTGCGGAGCACAGGCTCCGGACGTGCAGGCTCAGCGGCCATGGCTCACGGGCCCAGCCGCTCCGTAGCATGTGGGATCTTCCCGGACCGGGGCACGAACCCGTGTCCCCTGCATCGGCAGGCGGACTCTCAACCACTGCGCCACCAGGGAAGCCCTAGACACAGGCTTTTGACACTCATGTCCTGATGCCCTTGCCACCACAGCAATGTGCCTCCTCAAGCATGTCATGGACACTCATTATGATTGCTTGTCCTGGCCTTGGTACCCACCTTCCATGCTCTGGCATGAACAGCTCTACCGGGAACTAAAAGCTGAGTTCTCAACAGCTAGCATGTGATTAACAGGATTGCGAAATAAGAATTCGTTATCCATCTGTCAAGCTAGCATCATAAAAAAGTAGCCTCCTGCCCTCTGCTATCTCAATTCAATTATAACCAGGCTCAAAAAAGAAAAAAAAAAGGGGGACAACATTATGTCAAGCCCTCAGGAATTGAAATGTCAAAAAGGTCATTTCTCACCCAGCAGCTCTCCTTCTTCCAAAGCCACCAGCACAAGACCGTGGGTTTTAACACTGATTTTGAGTCTTGTGAGGGGAGGGCCTATAGCTCACATTGTCATATAGGATGATTTTCTGCCAGAGATATGTTTAAACAAAAGTCTGATTTGGTCATGAGCAAAGTGGTGCTAAAGATTAAGCCCGTCCAGCCCCAGAATGGATGGGGGTGGCAGAGGCAACATTGACAAACTGAAGCCAGAGGTCTGGTGTCTGGGAAAACAGGCTCCATCATCAGGTCCACCACTCTACTGAAAACAACTAACAATGAAATCCATATTTTTAAAAAAATCTGAAAAGCACTGAAGCTTCAACAACTGAGTAAGGAACCACCAGGCCAAAAGGACTTAAGAACCCCAGAGGGATGAGCCCTACAGAAGCCGCTCTTGCCCTCAAAACATTGGATGATTCTGGCAAATTGGAACCTTCATATTATCCATCTCCTGAGCAGAAATCAAAGTTCAGGGCTGGCTGAGGTGGAGCCATAACTGGAGACTGTTCCACAATGAGCTGGAATGCCAAAGGGCTACATCTATCTACCTGGT